GTCAGTAGGCCAAGAAGAATGGGGCGTTTGGACGAGCCATACAATGTCTCTTTGCGTACGTGTGGGTCCTGGCGCGAATAGCTGACTACGGTAAGCAAAAATGTTCACTCTTAAGCACATAATAACAAAAAACCCTAGTAACAGCAAAAATAGCCCACCTCTCCAGCCTTTTGAGGTAGAAAATTAGAATAAGATCGGAGCAGCAAAATAATAACCGAATAAAAAATTTGAGAAAAACATCGCTCCACTACTCGGCGATCAGCTGATTGTGTGTGGGTTCTAGAACGAATATTGCAATCTGTATCGTCTCGACACTCGTCTGACGTGACATCCATTTAGGAGCGGGAAGTTCGGGCGATCCGGTGAGGGGGCTCCCGCTATGCCTTAGCTGTTGAGTTTTGGGACTCGACACCGTTCATCCTGTTACTCTTGGGAGCCACTGGGTATTCCTAGGGAGAGAACTCAGAAACCATTTTCATCGTAATTGTGCCTTTAAGAATCGATGTGCTTGTCAGACTTGCCCATGAACGGAGGTATTTGATCATTGATTGAAGAGAGAGCGCTGTAATCAAATTGTTATGTGCTTTTTTCACTCTCATTCGTACACCAGTTGTGTACTTGAGCGGGTAGTAATCTAATTTTCATGGTTAATTGAGTGTGAACTAAGCGCGGGAGACGGGCTGTTGGATCTACCCGTTGACCGCCCTGTGTGGTTCCATGTGCTTTCTTTTTTTCGCGATCCGTTTCAGCAGGCTATCAATTTTGACATATTTAGAGTGAACTAACATCCCTGTAAACGATTCGAGGTCCTTCAAATTTTTTTTTCTGGTTCTGGCATGGTAACCAACAAGTTCAGGCATGGTAACCATTGCTTTTTGGGTGCGGGCCCTGATTCTCGTTCCACTGTATGCTTCCGGAATTCCATCTCTTCTTTCATATACTCATACTTTTCACGTTCCAGCCTCAAGCTACTCTCAACCTAGTCAGTAGTTCTTGCACCCTCACCCCTTCTACTTCCGCGAACGCTGTTTCATTCTCAGAAAAGTGGCTGGGATAGGGGCTGTTCAAAATGGTGCTCTACCAAACACTCCTTTGTACATATTGATTGTGGTATAGTTCTTAGACCTTTCTTTCGACTTCAGATGCGTATCTGATGAAACCATCTCAGAAAATTTTTTGCCTACGTTCGAATATGAAATACGTCTTCAGTTTGAGGCAGTGGATAAGGGTTGATATCCCGTTGAGAACTGAAAGTCATTCCGTAGTCTCGGCATAGTCTTATATTTCCCTCCTGACTTCAAAACGACACTACAGACCCATTTTTCATGTACTTGTCGAAGTGGATTCTCCTGGAGTCTAACTCCTGGAATTTTGCGTCAAATTTGG